TTTAGGATCAATTCCTACATAATAACAATTATAACAATATTCATGCATAAAAGGATCAACAAACACACATCACTCAATACTTTGATTACAGTGATAGTTGTTGGTTACCAAATATAAAAAATCACCCAAAATTTTTATTACATTTTCTAATGCATATTGATGTCCTTATGCTATGTAAAAATTTGAGCCGTTTCTGACAAATGTTTGTTGAGTTATGGCCATTTTAAGAAAACGCCAAAATTTTGAAAAATACCCAAGGCTATAGCCCATGGTTTTTTCCAAAAAATGGCTCCAAAATCACCCCCAATTTTTAATACACTTTTTTGATACATATTAATGTCCTTATGGTATGTAGAAAGTTTGAGCTAATTCTGACTTCAATTTTTGCAGTTATGGCCATTTTAAAAATGAGCCAATTTTTGCTATTATGATAGCCCATGGTTTTTTCCAAAAAATGGCTCTAAAATCACCCCAAATTTTTATTACATTTTCTGATACATATTGACGCCCTTATGCTCTGTAGAAAGTTTGAGCTGATTCCGACTTCAATTTTTTGAGTTATGGCCATTTTTAAAATGAGCCAATTTTTGAAAAATACCCAAGGCTATAGCCCATGGTTTTTCCTGAAAAATGGCTCCAAAATCACCCCAAATTTTTATTACATTTTCTGATACATATTGATGTCCTTATGCTATGTAGAAAATTTGAGCCATTTCCAAAAAATTTTTGTTGAGTTATGGCCATTTTAAGAAAAACGCCAAAATTTTGAAAAATGCCCAAGGCTATAGCCCATGGTTTTTTCTAAAAAATGGCTCTGAAATCACGACAAATTTTTATTACATTTTCTGATACATATTGATGTCTTTATGCTATGTAGAAAGGTTGAGGTGTTTTTGACAAATATTTTTAAGTTATGAGCATTTTTTTAAACAGGCCAATTTATGAAAAAAGCAAGAACTATATAGTCTATAATTTTTTCCAAAAACTCCAAAGTTATCCTACATTTTTGAAATGCATAAATTGAATGTTTTGAAAAAAATTAAATAAAATTTAATGTCACAAATTTTAAATACCTTGATACTCTTCTGCTTGAGTGCTATAATGTAATACATAAATAAGAAATACAATCAATAATAATTCTTACTTTCGGTAATGTTGATAAGTATTGCTATCCAATGTATTCCACTTATTTGTCTAAGAAGGCAGTATTAAAATAATAACTTACGTATCATAAAACGTTCATTATTTTTAAATCACATATTACCTGTCCAAAGGTGCCAATAAGTTCACCTTTAAAAGTCCATAGTTTAACATTACAATCATAAGATGAAGAGAGAACAAAAGAAGTTGATGACTGATGATATTCAATATTAGTTATTTCTCCAACATGTGCTGTCCATCTGGCCAATGTCAGTGGCAACACGTTTGCTGACTATTAAAAATATAATAAATAATAACAAATACAGTGTTGACTTGCTTCTCCAATGCAGTAATGAGAAATGTCAAAGACACTAATAAACCCCATAGTGTCTCCAGCTAGCAAATAATTATTATTAGGATCAGATAGCCTTGAAATCACATTCATTGTGCAAAGTAGTAAGTTTTACATTGTTAATAGAGATACTGTACTTTACTCATTTTTCATTCCTCATATAGATCCTAATAGTAAATCAAAGACTGTTATTTATGAAGATAGCAAAATGACTGGCATATTAAAACTCTAGAAAGAGAGAAACCTCTTTCATTTATTAACATAACAATAGTTCTTGTATGTCTTAGATGGTGCCACATGTTTGTGTACATAGCTCAATACAAATTAAATAAAGCTGATGTATCATGCATCAGCTTATCTATTTATAAGATACCTACATAATTTACTCCCTCCTCGGGGTTAGCTATAGCTTGTGCTTGTGTCAGTCATTATGAAGTTTCTTCTATTCCTTTTCTCCATTCAGGCCTTATGCTTTATTGCAAATGGTAAGTGAAAGCATTTCTCAACAAGAGAAACTTATATTTTAGCCAAGTTTGAGCCATGTTTTATGTGTCCTGGCATTTGCTTATGAACATATCTTATGGTATTGAGGATCTTTGTGTACTATCATAATTGAATAGAAAAATGAACTATTTTAATAATATTTTTACATTAGCTACATGTACAACTGGGGAAATAAGATTAGTTAATGGTACTACTCCTGATCAAGGACGTGTTGAGATATGTATCAATGGAGTGTGGGGCACAGTTTGTGATGACTTTTGGGGTCATGTTGAAGCAGAAATTGTATGCAGACAATTGGGATACAATACTGTAGGTGAATCACACCTTCAATTTTGTCCATTCATTTTCAGTTCATTTAACAATTAACTGTCTTTACTTTCTTTTCAGGTGCTACATATTTTGCTGGCCCTCTTCATAGTTATGGTGAGGGTACTGGTCCTATACTTTTAGATGATGTGCAATGCTCTGGTAATGAATGTAGCCTGCTGAATTGCTCACATACTGCTATCATTTATGGCTGTTCTCATTCAGAAGATGTAGGTGTTTCATGCCCTCCTTTAGGTAAATATAATTGCACATATCAAATTAAAAATTACAAAAGCTACTCATTTTTTTACAGATACATGCACTCCATTTAATTCCATACCATCTCCAACAGCATCTACAATAATGTCTTCAAAAACTTGGTTTGTGAACCTCCTTTCTCACCTTGTCCTTCATTTCCTTCTCCTTCTAAATTATCATACCATAGTACTAGAGAATGTCCTACTCCTACTACTCCTCTTGCTTCAATTGTATTTACTGTCACAACTACACTTACCTTATCAGTAACTGCCACTACTACTGAAGCAGGCACAATAGCAAGTGCTGTTGATAACTGTACAGCTTCAGTAACATCAGCAATCATACTCCCAGTGCTACTACTGATCATAATAGCAATACTAGTACTAATATCACTGACTCTCATTTATTACTACAAAATAAGAAAATCTGACAATAAGTAAGACACAACACCTACAGACCATAACTTAGATACATGCATTTCTATTATGGTAACAGTGGTTTATACAAGAACAAGATACCAATTTAAACACAACTCATGTATCTATCCTTTAAGCTATGCTATAATTACTCTGTACTTTTTTGATTTGGCTACTGTAAAATATGGTTTGTTAGTTTAACCAGCAAGCATTAAATAATAACTAAACTTGCTAGATTTATCAGTTTTTGGGTAAAATTAGAATCTGGAACAATAAAAGCAAAAATGAAACTCACACTATCATTAACTTTAGCCTCCACACATAAATAAACTGACTCACCTTATGCTAACATCCTAATGTATGCATAATGCATAAATTTACTTTTATTTCCTCTAGTTCTGCTAGCATTGCCAATTCAGTAGAGCCAGTACCTTTGGATGCTGTAGGATCAAACCGCTACCACACATCAAACAATAGAGCCACAGACATACCTCAGTATGAAATGACAACTGCTGCTTATGAGTACGTGGATAATGAGCCAGCCTATGATAGACCAAGCAATGATAATAAAAACAGATCAGTTAGTGATCCTTATGAGACCATACCAGGAGAAGAAGATAAGTAACTTATGAGTCACCAGATGCTGGAGCATTAAGAACATAAGTACACATAAATACACATTCACTCATTTTCTTTTATATTAAAATTATGTTTTTATGTTTACATATTCATCATGTGTTTATGGATTGAAGTTCAACTTATCAAGAGTAGATAATGTAGATTATCTACTCTTGAACTTATTTATACCTTAATTTTTATAATATTGTGTTATTTTGATTTAAATAATCTTAAGTGAATTAGTGAATGTATGCTTAGGCTAATTGTGTTTATTTTGAGTCATGAAGGAACTCTGCTACACTTCCAGGCACTACTGGATCAGCTATATCCTATAGTACAGAAACAACATAATTATTATGACTTCTTCTTCAATACTACATAGCCTTAATCACCTCTCTCTCTCTTTATGGTAACTTACTACAAGTTGTAGTGCTTGAAAAGGAGAGCAGAGAAGGCCAAACTTTTCTGTTGAATGAATGTCAATGTCAGCATAACATTGTCTCCTGTCCTGTTTATCTGTCATCCTCTGATTAGCTTTATTATTGTACCGATCAGCTAGCTACATGAAGGATAAGGAGAAGTGACATTATGATATAAATGAGATTTTATTAATTTATTGAAACGCAATGTGGCTTTCTCTTACTTTGTTATCAAACTGACTAAGTTTAGTGATACTTGCTGTGCTACTAGTAAGAGAAGATGAACCAGTTGATGGACGTTCTCTTCTTTTGTGCTATTCACTGGTTCCTCTCCTTCTTCTTTCTCTCCCTCTTCTTGAAGAGGAGCAGTTGTAGTTTTAGGATCAATTCCTACATAATAACAATTATAACAATATTCATGCATAAAAGGATCAACAAACACACATCACTCAATACTTTGATTACAGTGATAGTTGTTGGTTACCAAATATAAAAAATCACCCAAAATTTTTATTACATTTTCTAATGCATATTGATGTCCTTATGCTATGTAAAAATTTGAGCCGTTTCTGACAAATGTTTGTTGAGTTATGGCCATTTTAAGAAAACGCCAAAATTTTGAAAAATACCCAAGGCTATAGCCCATGGTTTTTTCCAAAAAATGGCTCTAAAATCACCCCAAATTTTTATTACATTTTCTGATACATATTGACGCCCTTATGCTCTATAAAAAGTTTGAGCTGATTCCGACTTCAATTTTTTGAGTTATGGCCATTTTTAAAATGAGCCAATTTTTGAAAAATACCCAAGGCTATTATAGCCCATGGTTTTTTCCAAAAAATGGCTCCAAAGTCACCCCAAATTTTTATTACATTTTCTGATACATATTGATGTCCTTATGCTATGTAGAAAGTTTGAGCTGATTCTGACTTCAATTTTTTGAGTTATGAGCATTTTTTTAAAACGGCCAAATTTTGAAAAATACTCAAGGCTATAGCCCATGGTTTTTTCCAAAAAATGGCTCCAAAATCACCCCCAATTTTTAATACATTTTTTGATACATATTAATGTCCTTATGGTATGTAGAAAGTTTGAGCTAATTCTGACTTCAATTTTTGCAGTTATGGCCATTTTAAAAATGAGCCAATTTTTGCTATTATGATAGCCCATGGTTTTTTCCAAAAAATGGCTCTAAAATCACCCCAAATTTTTATTACATTTTCTGATACATATTGACGCCCTTATGCTCTGTAGAAAGTTTGAGCTGATTCCGACTTCAATTTTTTGAGTTATGGCCATTTTTAAAATGAGCCAATTTTTGAAAAATACCCAAGGCTATAGCCCATGGTTTTTCCTGAAAAATGGCTCCAAAATCACCCCAAATTTTTATTACATTTTCTGATACATATTGATGTCCTTATGCTATGTAGAACATTTGAGCCATTTCCAAAAAATTTTTGTTGAGTTATGGCCATTTTAAGAAAAACGCCAAAATTTTGAAAAATGCCCAAGGCTATAGCCCATGGTTTTTTCTAAAAAATGGCTCTGAAATCACGACAAAT